AAAAATATGAAAAGTTGCATTTTATACTTTTGTGGGTCTCAGAATTAATATGCTCCAGACTGAATCGATCACTGCATATTATTGTTATTGTTTTCTTCTTCTGATCTTAAAAAAAAAACCAACTTAAATGAAAAATATGCATTTAAGGGGTTTCTTTGTTATGTTAATGCCACGTGAGTGCAGACAGGGTCAAGCCAATCACTTTTGAGATGGAGATCATGCACAGAGGCAAGGAAATACAAACAAGGGAGGGTAGCTAGGAGGTAAGGACCCACCTTCAGAACCCACAGAAGAAGGAATCCTTCCCTAGAGCCAATGCCTGCATTTGTCCCTCTATCCTTCTAAGAATCCCCCGTGGGTGGTACTGTTGGGTACAAATGCTGGACTGCTAACTGTAAGATCGGGGATTTAAACCCACCTGGTGCTCCTCCACAGAAAGATAGGGTTCTCTGCTCCTGTAAAGCGTTACTGCCTTTGGAACCCTGTGTAAGGTTGATAAGAGTCAGAATTGAATCCGTTACAGTGGATTTAATTGTAAATATATATGTGTCTGGTAAAGCCACCCATTTGTATTTGTTAGGAAGAAAATAAGACTGCTTTAGAAGATTCCTTAACTGAGAGAAATGGCACGTCTAAAGCAGATCTATGCCATCTCAAGTAGTTAGAGGTTGACTGAGGCTGGCCTGATGGGGAGCACGGGCGGTAGAGGGCTCCGACCTGAGTTCAAGTGGCATCCCAACTCCACTTGGCTTCACTTGTGTCTAAGCGGCAAAGCAGACACACAAAGCCAAATCTTGCACTGTTTCAAGAGGAGAGAGAAAACTGAGCTGTTGCATTGAGTTTTGGATTTTGAAATATTGGCTACTAATATGACACGTTTAACGTATTCTGTGGGCCAAACAAAGCCACTCTGTGGGCCTGATGTGGACCTCCTGTTTCTAATCTCTAGTCTCTCTTTCTGGTCTTGAATTAGCTCTGCTTCCCTAGAGCCAGGGAATGCTCTTAACTGTTGGTCCTCCATCTCCCAAAAAAGGTCCTTTCTTTCTCAGAGCCTTGGGGAGTCCTTGGTCTCTGAGTACTCTGGGTTGTTTTCCTTTTAACACATTTTCAAACACTGCTTAATTAAATTTCCACTTTTATCTAGGCAAATACTGTATGTTATAGCAATAAATCAGTCACAATTTACTGTAAGTCTCCAAAGCTACATATCACTAACTTTACTTCATCTCTGAAAATAACATCATTAGAACCTCATAAACATTAGCTCTGTTTGTTTAAGAACGGCAAGAGATTTTTAAACATGGTTGCCAAGTCACAAGGCCACATTTTCCAGGACATAAATGGAAGCAAATAGAGTCACCTTAAATTGTGAGTCCCAATTCTGTCTGCCTTGCCGGTGTACTAACCTGACCAAAACAGAGTTGAATATATTAAACATGTAGTGTTGATCGTTTATTAGAGTATGTTACATGAGATTCACCTTAAATTCTATAATAAGTGCTTAGAAAGCCTTGGTTGCACTAGATAAACCTTGTAGCTTTTATCAGCATTGGAGTTTGTAATTTGCTGAGCATAATGTTCAACACTTGGCTGATCACATTCTTATGCTCTGTCCCCTTCACCTGCAAAATTGAAAGCATATTTGGAGCTTTCCCTCCAGATATGGTTCCAAGTCCGAGCTACATCTTCATCATCTGACCGTTCACATTTCACATGGAAACTTGGCATGTGATGTTAGGGCAGCAGATGTGATACATAGCCAGGAGCTCGGATACTTTCAAAAGCTAGGAAAAGGAGCCCTGATGACATAGCGGGTTTTGCACTGGGCTGCTAGCTGCATGGTGCCAGCAGTTCTAGCCCACCAACTGCTCCCCGGGAGAAGGATGAAGCCGTCTACTCCCATAAATATTACAGCCTCAGAAACCCACGGGGGCAGGTCTCCTCTGGCCTAGGGTCTCGAGGAGTCAGCAATGATTTGATAGCAATGAGGTCTGGTCTTGTTCGGTGTTTTAGGAAAGGGAAGGCTACTCCCCTACGGCAATATCAGCTCCAGGAGAGGACCGTGTCAGTCTGTTCTCTCGATGGACAATCTTCACAGAATCTTTCACCTGTCGCAGCATCCTTAAGAGGAAGCTGACTCCAGTGCCTTGGGAGTTGGAATCTACTTCAGGCTTCGTTCCTTCTTAACAAGGATACTCAGCCTCATGATACGATTTATGTCTAGACAGAGAGCTGCCCAGTTCTTCCTTGCAAGCCTGTCTTTTCACCTTACGAATGCTAGCAAATACAGGAAATGAACTCATGGCCAACTTCCCAGTTAGATTTGGCTTTGATGCCATGGAGGGAACTGCAGAAACTGTGTAGAGAAGATGAATAGATTAGGAATGCTGTCACATGGCTCTAACTAGTACATTCTTTTCTTCGACCAGCAGGAGGCAGTAGGCAAAGAGTGCATTGAAGAGTTTGCCCTCTTCTGAATTGCATAGTTAGGAATGATGAGCTCTGTAAAGGGCAGCATTAATCATTGAGATGCACTCCAGGCAGCCATGCAGCCTGTCAGTACCTTCGAGCACAATCTGTTATTATGCTGAGGCTGTGAATAGACAAGGAGGGCACATTTGGTGGTTGTGTGCCTGTGGGTATGCATGGATTAGTGCTCAGAGGAGGCATGGAGAAGCCAGCA